ATATCGCTCTCTGTGAGTAGTAATAGTCAGTGCCTGCGCCAGGACTTTAATGTGAGTGGTACCTGCGGGCCTGGCCGGGCCGGGCGGCATAGAGCTGACTGGTAGGGTATGATTGACATTGGCTGTGTGCCAACCTGTGGCTGCAGGGCCATGGAAACCTCATCAAACCCAGCTGTCTCTGTTTCTTTGGTCTCTGTCACTTATCCCTTCATTATAAAACCATACCAGCACTAATTCACTGATTGATGATAGAAGTCCTTTCGGTGTAAGTTCAACTCATGCAGATCCATAAAGAGGGGTTTTGGATGGGCAGTGTGGGGTGATATTTGTTTACATAGGTCATTGAGATGATGTTGTTGTTCAGTCAACAGTAAAAATATGCGCCCTCCAGTGTCCAACATAAGTATTTCACTTTAATAATGACCAAGTAACACAGTAGTACGTTTTTAGAAATATTTTTAATATGATAATTATTTTTTACAATTGAGAAAAAAAAGTAACAAAATAAGGTGGTAATTATCAATACATTGCATACACTATACTTGCCTAAATACAAGTGAACGACACTAAATTAAATATTTATGTGGAAACAAATATTTCCAAAGAGAATAAATGTCTAACAGATGTTGTAAGGCCACGAGACATAATAACAAAATGAAATATGCAAACATACGACAAAACAAATGCAAAAACTGAAATATTCATAATATATTGATGCTTACATTTTCGTAATTTAGCAGACGCTCTTATCCAGAGCGACTTACAGTTAGTTAGTGAGTGCATCATTTTTATTTATTTTTCATACTGGCCCCCCGTGGGAATCGAACCCACAACCCTGGCATTGCAAGCGCCATGCTCTACCAACTGAGCTACACGGGGCCCGTGCTGCTGAACTGCAACTGCCTAATGTTGGAGACCATTGAAGAGTAAGCTTAACCAATAGATATATGGCAGAGGGTATCAGGAAGGAATAAGCAGGAAATCCGGAATCCTCCAACCAGGATTTCTGTAAAACCAGGGAATTTATTGAAAGTTCCCGGAATTTTGCAACCCTAGGGGAGATATATAATGTATACCCTTCCCTTTCTTTTATATCAGCTTTGATACAAGAAACCTTATCAACATTTCAAGCCAGGCACTTTGAAAGCTTGAAAGCTTGACACCCATTATATTATAAATCAGCTTGGTGAAGCAAAAAGCATGAGAAAAGTTGCTAAATAAAATTCAAAAGCGAAGCTAAATGTGAATACACTAAAACATATAACAGCTCCCTTTACTATGCATAACGTCCTCTGCCTTATTGAGCTGAGAGAACTGAAATGGCGAGAGCAGCTTGGCAGAAGAGGCCCTCTAGTGGCCCTGGTTTAGTTTCCGCCGTATTCCCCTCACCTGTCTTGTCCTTTCATACGAGCAGAATGAGGAAGTAGGTCAAGGGAAATAAAAGGTGGGCGGCCATATTGATTTAGCCTCAGATGCCTCTGAGGGAGGAGTCAAAGTGATGAAGGGAGACTTCAGTGTCAGGGGAACTTTACAACGGGATGTTCCATTTGTCGAATATGCTGATCAACATGGTGGCCTCGTGGGAAGTTCTATTTCCAGTCCCATGTCTATAGTAACCATGGTTACTATCCTAGACTTCTAGGACATACAGTGCCTAGTGAAAGTCTACACACTCCTTCACATTCAAATGTTATCTTAAAATGGATTTCGGATGTTTTCCTATTGATGTACACAACCTACTCCACATTTTCAAAGTAAAAGAAAAATGATAGAAACTGTTCCTAATTAATTAAAAATAAAACACAAAGATGTCTTGATTGCGTATGTCTTCACACCACATAGTTAATAATTGGTGGAAGCACCTTTGCCAGCCATTAAAGCTGTGAATAATGTTGAATAAGATTCTACCAACTTTGCACAACTCTTAGGGCAACATACTGTGTATCCATTGTTTTTGTCAAAATTGCTAAAGCACAGTACATTTGGTTGGGAATCATTGATGCACAGCAATATTCAACTCTTGTTTCTGATTTAAGCAGATTTAAGTCAGGACTGAGACTGCACCATTCAGGACCACTCAACACCTATTGGAAATGCATACTGGTGTGTCTTTGGAATTTGACTTTGTGTAATTGTCAGGCAGAAATGTAAAACTATATCCCAGGGTTAGGTATTCAGAAGACTGAGGCAGGTTTTCCTCTAACTTTTTACCGGGGCTTTGCTCCTTTTATATTTATTTTGATCCTGACAAACTCCCCAGTCCCTGCCGTGACAAGCATACCCATAACATGATGCTGCCACCACAATGCTTGAAAATACAGAGGATCAACAACATTGCATTCACTCCACATTACTGGCCTGTAAGTGAAAAGAAGGAAGCCTGTGTTAAAATATCCCCTCCAAGTCATCCATTCTGTTTGCAACAAGGCTGTTAAGTAATACTGCAAGACAACATGTCAAATAAATCACTTTTTGGCCTAACTTAAAAACTACAGGCATGGGTCAAATCCAATACAAACCCTCTGTATTTTCAAGTATTGTGGTGGCAGCATCATGTTATGGGTATGCTTGTCACTAGTAGGGACTGGGGAGTTTGTCAGGATCAAAAGAAACATGAAAAAAGCAAAGCCTAGGTCAAAAGTTAGAGGAAAACCCTCAGTCTTCTGAAAACCTAACCCTGGAATAGAGTTTTATTTTTCAGCGGGACAATTACTCAAATTGTAATGCCAAAGACACACCAGAATGGCTTACCAATAGGTGTTGAGTGTTCCTGAGTGGTTCAGGCTTAGCCCTGACTTAAATATATGCTTGACAATCAGAGACAAGGTTTGGAATATTGCTGTCAATCAATGATTCCCAAATTTACTGACCTTAAGCAATTTTGACAAAAACAATGAGTATATGAAGCCCTGAGAGTTGGTTTAATCTTATTCAAAATAATTCACAGCTGTAATGGCTTTCAAAGGTGCTTCCACCGGGGCCACCCTTGTGGCACAGCGGCCTAAGGCACTGCATTGCAGTGCTGAGGCGTCACTATAGCCTCGGGTTCGATCCCAGGCTGTGTCATAGCAGGCCATGACCGGGAGACCCATGAAGCAGCGCACAATTGGCCCAGCGTCGTCCGGGTTAGGGGAGGGTTTGGCCAGCCGGGATCTCCTTGGCTCATCGTGCTCTAGGGACTCCTTCTGGCGGGCCGGGCGCCTGCAAGCTGTCGTCAGTTGGACAGTGTTTTCTCCAACACATTGGTGCGGCTGGCTTCCGGGTTAAGCGAGCAGTGTGTCAAGAAGCAATGCGGCTTGGCAGGGTCGTGTTTTGGAGGACGCATGGCTTTCGACCTTCACCTCTCCCGAGTCTGTAGGGGAGTTGCAGCGATGAGACAAGACTATAACTACCAATTGGTTTGAAAAAAATTACAAACAAAAAAAGGGTCTTCCACCAAGTATTAACTCTGGCCTGCGAAGACATACACAATCAAAACATATTTGTTTTGCATTTATTTTTGATTAATTTTGAATAGATTGTTTAGATCGGTAGGGGAAAAAATCGAATGTAATCCCTTTTTAGATTTAATTTTAAGGCAGCAAAATGTGAAGACTGTGCAAGGGGTGTGTAGACTTTGACTGGCGACTATAAGTCTCCTATACATGCAGTACTAAGACCCACATTCCTCCACAGATGGTATTATGAACAAAAACTCAAGTAAAACATTTTTGCGTATGGCTCAGCGAAGTTTAGATAAAACATTATTTACAAAAGAAAACAAAAACAAAAAAGGGATTGAGTATGATATAGCATTATCAACGTACTAAATGTTTTAACATTTACATTTTAGTCATTTAGCAGACACTCTTATCAAGAGCGACTTACAGTTAGTGAGTGCATACATTTTCATACTATATCAGACTATTGTTATATTGTAATGACATTTGGATACCAATAGCATTACAAGGGGTATAATCTGAAAGCACAAGTCTATTTGTACACTGCTTCATTCATCTGCAGAACAAGGAAACACAAAGACACACATGCACACTGTACACACAGTCATATTCATCACAGCCATAAACACAGGAGCACTGACATAGTTTTACAAAATATATTTATATAATAATAACAATAGAGGCCATTTCTGTATTTACACTTCATTAGGGTTGCAAAATTCCGGGAACTTTCAATAAATTCCCTGGTTTTCCAGAAATCCTGGTTGGAGGATTCTGGATTTCCTGCTTATTCCCTCCTGATTGCAGGAAGCCTCCAACCGTGATTTCGGGAAAACCAGGGAATTTATTGAAAGTTCACAGAATTTTGCAACACTACACTCCATACATAAATTGAGGATGTTATGCCTTTATTTGTAATCTCTGAGTACAATATCCGTTTTTTGTTTGTTTTTCCATGAGTGAAAATTTGAATTGTGTCCTGTCACCATCCAACTATAACGTAAGAAGAAACAAACGTAAAAAAAAGAAATGAATACGGCCTGCTTCATTAATATATATATATATATATATATATATATATATATATATATATATATATCACTTTGGGAATTGGGCATGACCCTAAAAAGCCATTATAACACAAGCCAAATTCACCAGTGAGGATTCATACTTCATTCATATAATTGAAGTTGTGACTGTTTTTCCACAGCAATCAAAACAAAGACAAGGCACCAACAAACAAAGCAGAAGAAGACAACACAAAAATACAAAGAAAACCAGTTTCCATTTAAAGTTGCTGCTTTTTGTTCCGTTGCTGACAGAAGTGACAAGTGCTAATCAAAAGAGTCCTTGTATTTCCTGCAAACACTGATATGGGGGGAGATGAATGGTGTGCTTGACTAGGGGATGGCTTGTCTTCACGACACCCTCCCTGAGGCGTCTCTTAAGGCAGAGTGTTGTCTTTGAATGCGTACAGATGGATGGATGGATGAATAGATGCATGGATGGCATCCTCCTCTCTTTGTCCACCATTTTTACCCCGGAACATGTGACTCATGTTTAGAAGTCGCAATAGTTGGTTTGGTTGTGCTCTGTAAAGCACATGGTTCCATTGACAAGGGGGGGTAAGGAGAATGTTCCATTGCTGTCGACTACAGGAAGGCTTGGGATCTGTTGGGGAAAAAGTATGACAAATAGAGCCTGGCTTGTTTCATAAAGTAACAATTATTAATATCAAGAAATGACTTCATAACTAGTTAGGGCCCTGAGTTTTCCTAACCACGTGACTTGACCAGTAGAACCAGGTTATGTAGTAAGGAAAACTCAGTGCTCCATCCACAACAGTTACACCACAGGGAGAGAGGGGGCTTAGTTACCTGTGTCTGTCCGACTCTGTTGCATCCAGCCAGGCACTGCTGCATGGCCAGTAGGTCCTCAGGGGTGGTGATGTTGGCCACCAGCGGGTGAGACAGGGAGCTGATTCTGGCATTGTCCTGGATGATGGCTGACGTGCCCACCACCGGCTCACTGGGGCCCCACTGGAAGTAGCAGGATCCCTGGGGAGGACTCTGGTCCTGGTGGTCACCTATCCTTCTCTGGCACACAGACAAAGTGGGGGGCAGCCTGGTGCCATCCACGTGGCTGTTTCCGTTGGGGAGGGGGGGTGAGACATTCTCAAACATGCAGCTGCTGGATGGAGCAGGCTGGCCGTTGGCCAATCCCCCCTGCTGGAGTTGGTGGTATAATCCGTTGGTGTTCTGTGGCCAAAGGCCTGTGAGAGGGACTCTTTGGGTCTCTGTGGCTTGACTGTGACAGTCTGGGATGAATCGGTGTCCATTCTGCATTGTTCCATCCTGCATTGTGCTGACGGGGGGTGGCAGCTGCTGCTGCTGGTGCTGGTTCTGGTTCTGGGGCCACTGCTGTACTTTCTGGGTTTTGAGTGACTGAAATGGTGCACTGTTTCCCTGCAGGCAAGCAGTCAGAAGGGGATTCGATTGATTGAGATTGCTAGATTCAATCTGGGGTGAAACAAAGCCATTACTAGGAATCAAGGATGCCCAAGCATCCATCAGAATAGGTGCTACATGGTTGGACTGTGGAACAGAGATCTTCTCTGGTACGTTTGGTGCCATTGCAGCTGGCAAGCCATTATGAGGGAAATGCTGTGGAGGTGGCTGGTTAGATTGGACCTGGCCAGCGATGATCTGAGGGCTTCCCATGTGGTTGTTTGGTGCCTGAGCACAGGATCCAACCATGCTAAACGTGACAGACCCATTCTGGCCTGAGCTGTGTGGGATATTGAGCTCTGGGAGCTCCAGAGAGGGGCTGACGATGTCGTTGAGCTGTAGCTGCTGCAGGGTGGGGATGTTCAGGCCCGTCTGGAGAATCTGGGGGATCTGGGGGCCGAAGTGGGAGAGCCTCTGGGTTCTCTTGAACACCTGCTGTGGTCCTGCCTGGTTCTGTCCTGCCTGGATCTGTCCTGCCTGGTTCTGTCCTGCCTGGTTCTGTCCTGCCTGATTCTGTCCTGCCTGGATCTGTTCTGCCTGGTTCTGTCCTGCCTGGTTCTGTCCTGCCTGGTTCTGCCCTGCCTGAATCTGTCCTGCCTGGTTCTGTCCTGCCTGGTTCCGTCCTGCCTGGATCTGTCCTGCCTGGTTCTGTCCTGCCAAACCAACTGCTCTGTTGCCTGTTATCTGACTGTGGCTGATACCATTTAGACCGTTCACTGGGGAGCCATTATGGAAAAAGCTGCAGTTGTTAAGCAACCCAGGCTTGCACTGTCCGGCACCTGTAGGGCTGACCACTCCTGTGAATGGTCCACCCTGGTTGTTGTTGTTGAGCACCCCTGTGAACAGGTTAGGGTTGTTGTTGACCATGGTGGAGCAGTTGGGCTGGTAACCGATCCCCTCGCTGCTCTCCTTGAACAAGGTGTCCTCCACATAAGAGAAGATGTCGTTGGTCATGATGTCATCCAGATCTAGGGGGGTGTCCCCGCTCCCGCTCCCGTTGGAGTCCTGGCTCAGCCTGAGGAGGACGCTCTCCCACTCCATCAGCTCCACGCCCCTCCCCTGCAGCGCCGCACACAGCTCCCCATCCCGCGCCATCTTCTCCAGGGTGTCGATCATGGCCACCAACGCCCCCTCCTGCTTGACCTCCCTGGGGCCGTCACCCTCATCATCCCCGTCGGGCCCCTGGGCCTCCATGATACTCTGCCAGGAGTTACAGGCCACGTTGGTCAGCGCTCGGCTGTCCATGAATACCTGGTCTATGGGTAGCTGAGGCTCCTGGGGCTGGGTGTAGATGGACTCGTCCTGCTTCAGTAAGGAGCCCAACAGAGACTGGGGGTCCAGAGACTCCACCTTGCGGATCTTTGGGGGGTTGGTTTGGAACTCAGTGGCGTCCAGAGTGGGGCCGGTCTCGTACAGCAGGGCCTCCCCGGTGGTGAAGCTGAAGGGCAGCTGCATCTTCCTCTGACGTAGATTCTCCTCTCCCTCAGAATTACTAAAAAGATAGAGAGAGAGAAAATCATATGAATGAATGAATGAATGGACATACAATTACAAGTGGGAAGTTTACATACACCTTAGCCAAATACATTTAAACTCAGTTTTTCCACAATTCCTGACATTTAATTGTAGTAAACATTCCCTGTCTTAGGTCAGTTAGGATCACCACTTTATTTTAAGAATGTGAAATGTCAGAATAATAGTAGAGAGAATGATTTATTTCAGCTTTTATTTCTTTCATCACATTCCCAGTGGGTCAGAAGTTTAAATACACTCAATTAGTATTTGGTAGTATTGCCTATAAATTGTTTAACTTGGGTCAAACGTTTCGGGTAGCCTTCCACAAGCTTCCCACAATAAGTTGGGTGAATTTTGGCCCATTCCTTCTGACAGAGCTGGTGTAACTGAGTCAGGTTTGTAGGCCTCCTTGCTCAACACGCTTTTTCAGTTCTACCCACAAATGTTCTATAGAATTGAGGTCAGGGCTTTGTGATGGCCACTCCACTACCTTGACTTTGTTGTCCTTAAGCCATTTTGCCACAACTTTGGAAGTATGCTTGGGGTCATTGTCCATTTGGAAGACCCATTTGCGACCAAGCTTTAACTTCCTGACTGATGTCTTGAGATGTTGCTTCAATATATCCACATAATTTTCCTTCCTCATGATGCCATCTGTTTTGTGAAGTGCACCAGTCCCTCCTGCAGCAAAGCACCCCCACAGCATGATGCTGCCACCCCCGTGCTTCACGGTTGGGATGGTATTCTTCGGCTTGCAAGCATCCCCCTTTTTCCTCCTAACATAACGATGGTCATTATGGCCAAACACTTCTATTTTTGTTTCATTAGACTAGAGGACATTTCTCCAAAAAGTACGATCTTTGTCCCCATGTGCAGTTGCAAACCGTAGTCTGGCTTTTTTATGGCGGTTTTGGAGCAAGTGGCTTCTTCCTTGCTGAGCGGCCTTTCAGGTTATGTCGCTCTAGGACTAGTTTTACTGTGGATATAGATACTTTTGTACCTGTTTCCTCCAGAATCTTCACAAGGTCCTTTGCTGTTGTTCTGGGATTGATTTGCACTTTTCGCACCAAAGTACGTTCATCTCTAGGAGACAGAACGCGTCTCCTTCCTGAGCGGTATGACGACTGCGTGGTCCCATGGTGTTTATACTTGCGTACTATTGTTTGTACAGATGGCTTGGGGGTAGAAGCTGTTGAGAAGTCTTTTGGACCTAGACTTGGCACTCCGGTACCGCTTGCCGTGCGGTAGCAGAGAGAACAGTCTATGACTAGGGTGGCTGGAGGAGTCTTTGACAATTTTGAGGGCCTTCATCTGACACTGCCAGGTATAGAGGTCCTGGATGGCAGGACTAGACTATGTACGCATACCACGCTGCACCTGGTCCAATCCTTTATACGACAAATGTGACAGAAGATCCCACCACCAACGGACCAAGCAGCGTGGCCAGGAGGAGATGACACCCTGGACACAGGTGGGGAAGACATTTTGGACATGGGAGGAGATATTAGCCGGTAAAGGACCCTCTGCAAAGGAAGAAGCCCAGGCAGGAGAGGATCAACGGCGATGCCGACTGTGCCGACCGCTAAGGAAGCCCAAGAGGCAGCCCCAATAAAACAAATTGGGGGGGGCACACGGGGTGGTGGGCGAAGCAGCAGGAGGCCCTGAAAGACCTGCAGCTCAGCACTCTGAGAGAGGAGACCACCACCTTACGGGGGCTGAAAGAGAAGAGGGAGCAGGAGCTCTCCCTTCAGAAGGAGGCGCTGCAGGAGGCCCACAGGGAGAAGGAGTCAGTGGATGCACGGAGAGAGGAGTTGGCTAGGCAACAGGAGGAGCTGAGAGAGGAATTAACCCTAGAGAAAAGGAGAACGCAGTCCTTAGAGCAGAGGCTGGCTGAGCTAGGTTTCAGAGTAGAGCCAACTCCCCGCACTCGTGTTAAGGAGCGTGGGACCGTTCAGGCACCCTGTTATGCTGTGATACGCACTGTATCTCCAGTGCACATTCACAGCCCGGTGCGCTTGGTGCCTGCGCCCCGCTCTTGCTGGGCTACAATGAGCGTTCAGCCAGGACGGGTTGTTCCTGCTCCTCGCACCAAACCAGTGGTGCGTGTCTCCAGTCCAGTCCACCCCGACCTATCATCACTGTAGTGTGTTCTTAGGGTGTGAGTATGGGGTGGTACCAAGCAGAAGGACTAAAGGCAGGAGAGGGTTGGCGGTTTTTGGGAATATGGGTGACCCTGAGCTGCATCATAGTCTTGGTATGTCAAGATCCACCACCACCTCGCACCAATTACGCTATGGCCTTACCATTATTAAGAAATAAAAGGGAAGCGACCCGACATACTGACCGTCAAGGACGAGTGATCTACAAAATAGGAGTCAGAGAAGGGTGGGGAGTAAGATTCAAAATTAGGATTAGGGATCTTATCAGGACGGATAAGCAAGCAACGTGGGATTATAAAATCCCATTGTATTTATGTTCAGCTCCCTCGGCGGATTGTTCCTGGGCTCAGGTATTTAGACATACTGGGGGACGGGGGGGCTGGATGTCCAGATGGAGGATAAGAAGGTATAACGACATCCCCACGGAGATGGTAGTAACAATAGTAAAGGTCACTAAAGAGGACATGAAAATAACTTACTGGGCTTGCGCGGACGAATACGGACGGGATACTTGTCTAAGATTACATTTGATGGAGTCAAAAGATATGAAGGGCACAGGTACTGTCATTAATCCATTAATAGCAATAGACCGAGTAGATCAGTCAAGGGATGACGGAGTCAATTCGACTAACCCGTCCACTATAAAATATTTTCTCCTCCAAGAATGGAACCAAGGGGAAGTGGAGGGGGTCCCTGATGAGAATCTCTGGTTAAAGTGGATGAAGTACACCGCTAGGGCCTTGGGGAGACCGATTGTTATGTATGCTCCATTGGGCGACCGACAATGTTGACCGACCCAATGCCAAAGGCAATGTTTCCCTGTGTATTAGACCTGGGGTCCAATCAAAAAGAGCCCAATTGCACAGGGATTTGGCTGGCAAAGTTGACTTACTCGGCCATCCCACCTAGATTCACTTTAACTCCTGGCGAATACCAGTGTTACAGACATAGAAATGGCACCCGTAACTTGGGTGATTTTGATGGCTGTGAGGAGATAATTCATGTGACTGATTTAGATAAGGAAGGGAGGGGAAAAATTATGAACCTTACCATCCCTCTGACTGATGTGTGGTGGGCATGTACTAACAAAGGGAGCATTCGACAGACATTACCAGAAGGATGGGTGGGTACTTGTGCACCAGTATTGTTGGTCCAAACCTGTAAGAATTAGTCATCAAAGACCAGTGACAGGAAGAATAATCAGGAGGAGGAGAAATATAGGTCAGGAAGGAAATAGCCCAATTTGGATAGATGGTATAGGCATCCCCAGGGGTGTTCCAGACGAATACAAAGCTATGAATCAAATATGGGAGGGTTTTACCACAACATTTTTCTGGTGGGTAACAATAAACAAGAATGTGGATTGGATAAATTATATCTATTACAACCAACAACGATTTATTGACCAGACTAGAGATGCAGTAAAGGGGATCTCCGAGTGATTATCCGCCATCCCGCTCATAACTTAGTAGAGGTTGGTTCTAGATCAGGCAGAAAGGGCCGGCGTCTATAGAATGATAAGCCATTGTTGCACATTTATTCCTAACAACACCACACTGGATGGGACAGTCACCAGAGCTCTTACAGAATTAACTGCACTAAGTGAAGAATGAACTGAGAACTCAGAAGTTAGTACATCGTGGATAGGGTGGTTTGATGAAATGTTTGGTAAATGGAAAACCATAGCAGCCACCATCTTAGGAGCGGTCAGTGTTTGTATGGGTATTCTTGTATTATGTGGTTGTTGTCTTGTTCCCTGTGTCCGAGGATTGGTGAGTCAGGCGTTGGTGAAATGCAGTATCTAAACAATGATGAGAGATGGACTGACTCCGGACTCTGACCAGGGGAATGTGAAAAACGATCCTCCAGGCTTGGTGGATGACGAGGATTTGGACCCTGAAAGACCGCAATTGGATGAAATGTTTATTAGTTCTGACGTAATCTCTGAGATTAATCATGCTTGTAAAATACATTTATCCTGAATGTGAAAACATTTAGTCAAAGGGGTGGATTGTTAGATTAATTTGTATTTGAAGAATAATGACTAAAGGATTTCACCCCAAATACAGTATAAATGTGTGAACGGTGTTAGAGTTATAATGTAGTGGCAACCCACTAACAGAGGGGGGCGGGACTAAACATTCCAGGGTGAAGGGGACTGAGAAAAGGGGTTAAAAAAAGCCTCCTAAAGGTGGGTGGAGCAAAGTGCCTTTGTGTGTCAAGGGGTATAAAACAGTATGTATGGGTTTTTGGCGCCAGAGCTCTCCATGAATAAAAAGACAGATCATTCTTGCTGGTTGTGGACCTTGAATCATTTATGATTAAAACCAGAGCCTTACAACCTCTGGTAATGATTCAAGCTTAGGTTGAATTAGAGATAGAAATTCTCGTGACATGGTTGAAAAACGAGTTTTAATGACTCCAACCTAAGTGTATGTAAACTTCTGACTACAACTGTATATGTTTAATTAATGGATATCAATTTACAATCATTTATTTTGAGACACAATGAAATGAGAGTAAATGATGATGCAGACGGATGTATATTAAAATATGAATTACTCACAGTAAAGCTCTCTGGCGTGCGATGATGAAGTCGGGCCTTCCTCCTTTGTAGACGAGCCTGGCGTTTGCCTGGACCCAGACCCAGCACCCAGTCTTCTGCAGCAGTCTGAACGTGGTCAGACCACTCTCTCCTGTCTTAATCACTGAGGCAAGAATATTCATACCATTAGATAAGCATACAAAAATATTGATCAAACAAGTAATCGCTAGAGAGTTATTATGAACTATGAAGAAATAGTCAACTTACTTCTGACGTGGTTGTCTGCACAGTACATCATATCAGCAGCGTGGATGAACTGATACCCAGAGCCTCTCATACACAACTCCATCTCTGAGTATCCCAGGACAACCTTCCCCCTGTAGAGAGACAACAGGGCAGGCCACACCATGTTAGCGTTAGTGGAAAGTACAGAACATTACACATCATGTTCACCTGTGAAGTCATCCCTCAAAACATGTTGAATAGAAAAAGTGAAATAGTGACATTTTAAAAACAGTCCCAGTTTGATCAAGTCCTACATTTGATCAAGGCTCTTAGAATAAATACTACCATACTTCCTTCCTAAATGTAGGCCTAGCCTGCCAACTTGGACTGAGTGAGAATTAGTTTCAGGCCTTTAGAGTCACCTGGCATCGACACCCGTGGGGGTGAAGTCAAGCTTGTGTTTGGTCTGGAAGAAGATTGTCTTGGTCCTGATCTCTAATATGGACGGGGTCTGGACAGGGGTGGCGATGGTGAACAGGCCCAATCTGGGCTGGCTGAGCGTCCCGTCTTCCCCCAGCATGCTCTGGCCATGGAGGAACTTCAGACGCCCCTGGAAGTTCAGAGCCTGGATATGAGGAGAGCAAAGGGATGTTAGACTCTGAAACTTCGCTAGTGATTGATCTGAAACTTAGCTAGTGATTGATCTGAAACTTAGCTAGTGATTGATCTGAAACTTAGCTAGTGATTGATCTGAAACTTTGCTAGTGATTGATCTGAAACTTCTCTAGTGATTGATCTGAAACTTCGCTAGTGATTGATCTGAAACTTGGCTAGTGATTGATCTGAAACTTGGCTAGTGATTGATCTGAAACTTGGCTAGTGATTGATCTGAAACGTGGCTAGTGATTGATCTGAAACTTGGCTAGTGATTGATCTGAAACTTGGCTAGTGATTGATCTGAAACGTGGCTAGTGATTGATCTGAAACGTGGCTAGTGATTGATCTGAAACGTGGCTAGTGATTGATCTGAAACTTCGCTAGTGATTGATCTGAAACTTCGCTAGTGATTGATCTGAAACTTCGCTAGTGATTGATCTGAAACTTCGCTAGTGATTGATCTGAAACTTCGCTAGTGATTGATCTGAAACTTCGCTAGTGATTGATCTGAAACGTGGCTAGTGATTAATTGTATAAAAAGCTTTGCCAAACTTTGCCAAGATCCACCACTCATGTCATACTGTCATATTCTTCAACAGTGCTGGTGTGTGTTCTTTTGGCACAATACAGTGTATGAAGTACTTTCTGTTGACAATAAAAAGTGGATGTTTTCTCTACAGCCCTATAGATGAGAGACTCACCAGGAAGCCAGAGGAGTTGTCCAGGAGGCAGCGGAAGCGACACACAAAGTTCCTCTCCAGGAAGGAGGAGTTCTCTGGTGGGAGCTGCTCAGGGTTATAGCTCACGATGTTCCTGGTGATGTCACTGCTGCTCTCCATGCCTGAACATGTGGTGAAAGATTGTGAAATGAGAGCTTATCATCAAAAACATGGGCCAAATCATAACTTGAAATAAACACACCTAGCTCGAACATGCTCCCATTGACTTCAATCGATGACGTACACTAAAATCCACTGAAAAAACGACCCAAACTGTCCACAACCCATTCCCTCCAGGTCACTCACCGTCTCCTCCCTGCTCTGGGTCAAAGGCCTTGGGGTTGAGGGCAAAGTGAAGCTGTCGTCTGAACATGGCTCTGTCGTCTGTGTGGATTAGCTCAAACACACTCTGGTGGACCACATCTGACTACAGACAGACAGAGAGAGAAGGCAAACTCAACTCCATTAAAGTTATGTCTAGTTTATCACTATGGCTGTAGCCTCCATTATTATGGTAGACGCATAATAATAATGGTGTCTACAAGCCATATTAGGACTACTTAATGACGTGTACTTCACACGTAGTCTCCACTGGAATGGACAACTAATAGGACTTTAGTAGGACTTGCCACTGTGTTGCCCACCCCTGGAAAACTATAACGGCAATTGTAACAGACCTCAGCTTATGAAGTCTTACGAAAGCACGTCTGTTATTAAGCAAACAAACCCTGAAGCCAAAAGTCTGAAGTGGGCGCTGGACACTGTTTGTTCCTGGTTTCATGTGATTCACTTGTTACTTAGAAGTTTCTCTCAGAACAAAAGGAACTACGTGGTTTGTGGTCAAAGCCAAAGTGGACTCTTGGAAGCTGGAAACGACAGAGTAACATCACATTGCACATAGACCATCAGTCAGACGACGCATTTTCCCTTGGTCAAACTGAATTAACTGAAACAATGAATTTCTGCTGAAAACGAATGTAGGGATGTAGCTCAGTTGGTAGAGCATGGTGTTTGCAACGCCAGGGTTGTTGGTTTGATTCCCACGGGGGGTATGAAAACAACAAAAAAATAATGTATGCACTCACTAACTGTAAATCACTCTGGATAAGAGCGTCTGCTAAATGACTAAAATGTAAGAAAAATGAATGTGAATGGCTTTGAAAGAAACATAACCCTAACTATAATCCAACTTCTATACTGTTGGTCTTGTGATTCATGGCCTAAGTGGGAAACACAGTAAGCCCTGTGTGTCTGTTGTGCTGATCACCCTGTGGGGACAGTCCATGAGTGACAACTCATAAAGGGTCAAAGTAAACTACAAAGCAGGGTATTAAGACCCACAGTTACCTGTCAGCACTGAAAATACCCTTTAGTGTATAAATGTAATGAAGGGGACAACCCATAACTATATTGGTTGGGGAGAACAATAACTGTAAAGCCGGTATGATTATTCATAATCTTTTATCTATTTTTGTTAAAAGACGTCCCGGTTCTATGTACAGTATGCTTGGTTGCAAGTTACTACAACATTGGCTACTTAGGGTTAGCCACATATATTTCCAAATGTACGCCTCAGGTCTGTGTTAAAGGTCTGTAATCGTAAAATCTGGATGTGGCAGCAATGACAGAGGACCAAAGCATTACCGCAGCTGCGCGTCACTTTCTTGTGGGCTTTGTGGAACCATATAGATGCAGCAGAGATAATAACAGACATTTCTTGTTAACAAACTATAGTTTTGGCAAGTCGGTAAGGACATCTACTTTGTGCATGACACAAGTAATTTTTCCAACAATTGTTTACAGACAGATTATTTCACTTATAATTCACTGTATCACAATTCCAGTGGGTCAGAAAGTTTACATACACTAAGTTGACTGTGCCTTTAAACAGCTTGGAAAATTACAGAAAATTATGTCATGGCTTTAGAAGCTTCTGATAGGCTAATTGACATTATTTGAATCAATTGGAGGTGTACCTGTGGATGTATTTCAAGGCCTACCTTCAAACTCAGTACCTATTTGCTTGACATCATGGGAAAATCAAAAGAAATCAGCCAAGACCACAGAAAAGAAATTGTAGACCTCCACAAGTCTCCACAGTAAAACGAGTCCTATATCGACATAACCTGAAAGGCCGCTCAGCAAGGAAAAAGCCACTGCTCCAAAACCGCCATAAAAAACCAGACTACGGTTTGCAACTGCACATGGGGACAAAGATCGTACTTTTTGGAGAAATGTCCTCTGGTCTGATGAAACAAAAATGGAACTGTTTGGCCATAATGACCATCGTTATGTTTGGAGGAAAATGGGGGATGCTTGCAAGCCGAAGAATACCATCCCAACCGTGAAGCACGGGGGTGGCAGCATCATGCTGTGGGGATGCTTTGCTGCAGGAGGGACTGGTGCACTTCACAAAACAGATGGCATCATGAGGAAGAAAAATTATGTGGATATATTGATGGGGGTGGTCCTCTGTAGCTCAGCTGGTAGAGCACGGCGCTTGTAACGCCAAGGTAGTGGGTTCGATCCCCGGGACCACCCATACACAAAAAAAAAATGTATGCACGCATGACTGTAAGTCGCTTTGGATAAAAGCGTCTGCTAAATGGCATATTATTATTATTATTATTATTATTGAAGCAACATCTCAAGACATCAGTCAGGAAGTTAAAGCTTGGTCGCAAATGGGTCTCCAAATGGACAATGACCCCAAGAATACTTCCAAAGTTGTGGCAAAATGGCTTAAGGACAACAAAGTCAAGGTATTGGAGTGGCCATCACAAAGCCCTGACCTCAATCCTATAGAACATTTGTGGGCAGAACTGAAAAAGCGTGTGTGAGCAAGGAGGCCTACAAACCTGACTCAGTTACACCAGCTCTGTCAGGAGGAATGGGCCAAAATTCACCCAACTAATTGTGGGAGGCTTGTGGAAGGCTACCCAAAACGTTTGACCCAAGTTAAACTTTTTTAAAGGCAATGCTACCAAATACTAATTGGCTCTCTGTGCCTTAGAACGTTGATCTGGTTAACAACATGTTTCTCTTGGCTCTCTGTGTCTTATAAGGTTGATTCTCAAAGGGATTCAACTATCCAGAGCAAAGATTCAACAAAAGCCAAATTTTATCCCCCTAATTCCTACATTTACTGCTGTACGGCTGTTCCCTGGTAATCTGCTTTCTCCATTCAAATGTCTTGTCTTTGTATCTCAATATCAATCTTCATGATAATTCTCTCTTTTTTTCCAGCAGGGTTTTATTAAGAGAGATTATTCAGTGATGACGACTATGGTTTACAGATGTGATGTTGTTACAGTTGTGTTGTGTTACATATATGATGTGATGTCCCATGTGTCTCAGTTGGTAGAGCATGCGCTTGCAACGCTAGGGTTGTGGGTTCGATTCCCACTATGATAAAGTACGAACATGTATGTACTCAATACCCTAAATCGCTCTGGATGAAAGCATCTGCTAAATGACTAAAATGTCAAATGTAAACATTGTTACACTTGTGTTATGTTCCAGATGGTGTAGTAGTTACCTGATGGAAGCCCAGGTAGTCTTGGATAGTAGCAGAGGCATAGAACACATGTCCCTCAGCTGTGACCACCATCACAAAGCCATTCAGAGCCTGCAAGACCAGATACAATGTTAATACAGTAACGCACACTCAAACACCAATAATCCTCTCACTATATAACACATCACACTTTCACTGCTCCAGACGAGCTACATAAACAAACGCATCAATTTGTGTTGCATTAAAGAAGACATTTTGTTCATCTGGGGGTTTTATAATCTGGAAACCTGTTTATGGTGGGGGTATTATAATCTGGCAACCTGTTTACTACGGGGGTATTATAATCTGGAAACATGTTTATTGTGGGGGGTATTATAATCTGGCAACCTGTTTACTACGGGGGTATTATAATCTGGCAACCTGTTTACTATGGGGGTATTATAATCTGGAAACCTGTTTATGGTGGGGGGTATTATAATCTGGCAACCTGTTTACTACGGGGGTATTATAATCTGGCAACCTGTTTACTATGGGGGTATTATAATCTGGCAACCTGTTTACTACGGGGTATTGTAATCTGGCAGCCTGTTTACTATGGGGGTATTATAATCTGGCAACCTGTTTACTATGGGGGTATTATAATCTGGCAACCTGTTTACTATGGGGGTATTATAATCTGGCAACCTGTTTACTACGGGGTATTGTAATCTGGCAACCTGTTTACTACGGGTTATTGTAATCTGGCAACCTGTTTACTATGGGGGTATTATAATCTGGCAACCTGTTTACTATGGGGGTATTATAATCTGGCAACCTGTATACTACGGGGGTACTATAATCTGGCAACCTGTTTACTATGGGGGTATTATAATCTGGCAACCTGTTTACTACGGGGGTATTATAATCTGGCAACCTGTTTACTACGGGTATTGTAATCTGGTAACCTGTTTACTATGGGGGTATTATAATCTGGCAACCTGTTTACTACGGGGTATTGTAATCTGGCAACCTGTTTACTATGGGGGTATTATAATCTGGCAACCTGTTTTACTACGGGGGTACTATAATCTGGCAACCTGTTTAATATGGGGGTATTATAATCTGGCAACCTGTTTACTATGGGGGTATTATAATCTGGCAACCTGTTTACTACGGGGTATTGTAATCTGGCAACCTGTTTACTATGGGGGTATTATAATCTGGCAACCTGTTTACTACGGGGTATTGTAATCTGGCAACCTGTTTACTATGGGGGTATTATAATCTGGCAACCTGTTTACTACGGGGGTACTATAATCTGGCAACCTGTTTAATATGGGGGTATTATAATCTGGCAACCTGTTTACTATGGGGGTATTATAATCTGGCAACCTGTTTACTACGGGGTATTATAATCTGGCAACCTGTTTACTACGGGGTATTATAATCTGGCAACCTGTTTACTACGGGGTATTGTAATCTGGCAACCTGTTTACTACGGGGTATTGTAATCTGGCAACCTGTTTACTATGGGGGTATTGTAATCTGGCAACCTGTTTACTATCTATCACAGATCCCTCTGCATTGACTGATGATCATATCAGCCTCCATCATGAGAGGAATAACAAACATGCCAGGCATTGCTTGGTGTGAAAATGTACCTGACATCTGAGTAAACAGTGTGCTAGAGCACTGGGGGAGCATTTGCTTTGTTTAGCGTAGCAAACCATGACCAGGCCTTGGCATGAAGTACCAGGACAACCTATTTCACCTGTCAGAACTTCCTGCTAAATGGATGGTCCTGGATTATAACTCAATCCACCTGGATTAACAAACACATGAACAATGTCTGGGTCTTTACCTACTCGTCTGCCAGCCAGTAGTCTCTCATGACTTTAAACATTCAAAACTGGCCAGCGCCCACAGAAGATTTGGTTCTGGGCGCTGAGATGTCTGTCAGTCAGTCAGGACATTTACACACTATGGGCCCAACCCAAACTGCACCATTCTGTGCTTTTCTGAACTGCTCTCTGTCTGTCTGTACTGTGCCGCGTTGTACCTGGAGCAGTAGGTCCCCCTCGGAGAAGTTTGTGGCATTCATCCCATTCATGTTCAGCCCATTCCCACTGGGAAACAGGACACTGCTTTTCTTCATGGTTGCTGCAGACACAGAGGGAGAACAACAAGCTCACATCAGCACGCTATCCTGAAAGCAATACGCACAGAAACTGGGCTCTCTGGGGTTTGGACATTTGGCACTTTCACGTGCCTTTCTTTGTTTATGTGCCCATCTCTCTTTCACCTTTTTTCACTCTGGCTGCCGCTCATTCTGTCCTTCTTCCACACTTCACTCCCTCTCCTATCTCCTTCACTCCCTCTCCTTTCTCCTCCACTCCCTCTCCTTTCTCCTCCACTCCCTCTCCTGTCTTCTTCACTCCCTCTCCTTTCTCCTTCACTCCCTCTCCTTTCTCCTTCACTCCCTCTCCTGTCTTCTTCACTCCCCCCTCTTTCCTTCACTTCCCTCTCCTTTCTCCTTCACTCCCTCTCCTTTTCTTTTTCCTCCCTCTCCCCTCCTTCCCTCCCTCTCCTTTTCTTCTTCACTCCCTCTCCCTCCCTTCACTCCCTCTCCTTTCTTTCTTCCTCCCTCTCCTTTTTCCCTTCACTTCCTCTCCTTCTCCTTCCCTTTTCCCTCTCCTTCTCCTTCCCTCCCTCTCCTTTCTCTTCAATCCCTCTCCTTACTCTTCCTCCCTCTCCTTTTCCCTCCTCCATCCCTCCTCCTTTTTCCTTCCCCTCCCTCTCCTGTCTCCTCCCTCCCTCTCCTTTCTCTCCTTCCCTCCCTTCCCTTTCTCCCCCACTCCCTCTCCTTTCTTCTCCTTCCCTCTCCTTTCTCCTTCCTCCCTCTCCTTTCTCCATTCCCTTCCCTCTCTTCTTCCTTCACTCCCTCTCTTTCTCTTTCCTCCCTCTCCTTTTTTTCTCTTCCTCCCACTCCTTTCTCCTTCACTCCCTCTCCTTACTCCTTCACTCCCTCTCCTTTCTTCTTCACTCCCTCTCCTCTCCCTCCCATTAGAGAAACGGGGATACCTAGTCAGTATCTGCATTTAACCCAACCCCTCTGAATCAGAGAGGTGCGGGGGGCCGCCTTAATCCATGTCATCAGCACCCGGGGAGCAGTTGTTGTTGGAGGTTAACTGACTTGCTCAAGGGCAGAACGGAATATTTTTCCCATGTTGCCGGCTCGGGGGTTCGAACCAGCAACCTTTTGGCCCAACGCTCTTTCCTGCTAGGCTACCTGCCTATCCTCACTTCCCATCTCCCCCCTCTCTCCCTCCCCAATCTCTCCCCTCCCTCCCTCCCCCCTCCCTCACTCTACCGCCCCACCCCTCCCTCCCTCCCTCCCCCCTCCCTCTCCCCCCCCATCTCCCTCCTCCCCTCCCCTCACCCCTTTCCCTCCCCCTCCCCTCCCTCCCGCCCTCTCCCGCCCCCCTCCCCTTTCCCTCCCTCCCTCTCACCCGCCCCCTCCCTCCCCCCCCTCCCTCCCTCCCTCACTCCCCCTCCCTCCCCCCCTCCCTTCCCTCCCTCGCCCTCTCCCTCCCCCTCCCTCCCCCCTCCCTCCTCCCCTCCCCCCCCCCCTCCCTCCCTCCCTCCCCCCCTCCCCTCCCCCCAGGCCCCCGCCCATCCGCCCCTCCCTCCCCCCTCCCTCCCTCCCCCCCCACTCCCCCCCTCCCCCTCCCTCCTCCCCGGCCTCCCCCGCCCTCCCCCCCCCTCCTCTCACCGCCCCATCCCTCCCTCCCGCTCCCTCCCCCCTCCCCCCTACCCCCTTTCCTTCCCTCCTCCCGCCCTCCCCTCCACACCTCCCCCCAAATCTCCCTCCCTCCTCCCTCCCTCCCCCCTCCCTCTCCCCCACCCCCTTTCCCTCCCTCCCTCCCCTTCCCTCCTCCCTCCTCCTCCCCCTCCCTCCTCCCCCCCCCTCCCTCCCTCCCTCCCTTCCCTCTCCCCCTCCCTTCCGTCCCCCCCTCCCTCCCTCCCGCCCTGGGGCCCCTCCCTCCCCCCCCCTCTCCCCCCCCATCTCCCTCCCTCCCCCCCTCCCTCCCTTCTCCCCCCCTTCCCCCTCCCCCGAATTCCCCAGTCCCCCCTTCCGGGCCCGCTCCCATCCCCCTCCTCCTTCCCCCCCTCTATCCCTCCCTCCCCCTCCCATCCACCCACCCCACTCCTCGCACTCCCCTCCTCCTCCCCCTCCTCTCCCCCTCCCTCTCCCTCCCTCCCTCCTCCCCCCCTCAAACCGTCCCCTCCCCTCTCCCCCTCCCTCCTCGGTTCCCCCAAACGTGCCCTCCCTACCCCTCGCCTCCTTCCCTCCCCTCCCTTCCCTCTCCCTCCCCCCGTCCCCCCTTCCCCCTCTTCCCTCGCTCCCTCCCTTCCCTCCCTCCCCCTCCGTCCCCCCATCCCCGCTCCCCCTTCCCCTCCCTCCCCCCCTCCCCCTTTCCCGGCTTTCCCCCCTCCCCCCCTCCCCTCGCCCTCGGGGGACGTCCTGCACCCCCCCTCCCTCCCCTCCCTCCCCAAAATCACCGCGCCAACCCCCTCCTCCCTCACCCCTCCTCCCCTCCCTCCCCCCTCTCTCCCCCCCCTCTCCCCCCTCCCTCCCCCCTCCCTCCCCCTTCCACTCCGCCCCTCTCCCTCCTCCCTTCCCTCTTCCCCTTCCCTTCCCTTTCCTCCCTCCCTCCTCTCCCGTCCCTCCCTCCCCCCTCCTGCCCCTCCCCCTCCTCCCCCCTCCCTCCCTCTCACCTCCCCACCCTTTTTCCCCTCCCTTCCCCTTTCCTCCCCTTTCCGTCACTCTGGTTTCCCCTCCCCTCCAACCTTTTCCCCGTTTCCTTTCCTCATTTAAACCCATCTCCCCCTCCTTTTCTGGCATTCCCCGGCTCCTTTTCCAAATTTCCCTGGACGCTTTTTCCTCCTCCGGGCCCCGTTGTTTCCCCCCCCTTTTTCCCCCCCCTCAGCTTCCGGCCTAGGAGCCCTCCTCCCGTTCCCTCACTTCTGTCCCATTAAGGCCCAGCTCCCATTCAACCGGCAAACTTTTTTGTTCCTAATAATATCAGCATCAACCCCCAATTTATATAAAACCTTAAAACCCCCCTTGTTAAACCACAAATTTTTTAAAAATGGTTAAAGCCTAAAAACTAAATTTTTTCTTTTTTTCCCCCTTTAAATTTAAATTTTCCAAAAATTATCCCAAAAAAACCCCGGGTAATTTATGTTTAATGGAAATCCTTTCAAAAAAACCGTTTTTGGTTTTAACATTTTTTTTTTTGTTTTCCTGGTTAAACTTGTTTAAAAATCCCCCAAAAAGGTTTTCCATTTTAAATTAAAAAATGGAAAAATTGAAAAAAAAAAAAAAAAAAAAAAAAAAAAAAAAACCCCCCTTTTGTTTTTGCCCCAAAAAAAAAACCCCAACACCTGCCCCTTTTTTTTAATTTTGGGGTTAAAAATTAATGTTGACTCCTCCGTCTCCCTCCTCACTGTTCTGCTCTCACTCAATGGGTTTGAAGCCCTACCACCGACTAAATCTAGTTTTTCTGCTTTCCCCTAAATTACAATGTTGGATGCCAGTTCATACCAACAACACGGGCTATTCATGTTTAGTGTGTAACTCCTTGTTCAAAATATCCTGATCTTTTGGTTGAACAAGTCAATTTGCCATGTTTTCACTGAAAAACAGATGGACACTGCTTTAAAGAGGATGCCTCCCAATATGAATGATGCATTTTTCGTAACAGGCTTTATGAACTGTGCAATATTGATGCAAGACAAAACAGCTCATGGTTTTACTGCAGCTTGCTTGTGGACATTATAGGCAAAGCATCCCATTTCAAAGACAAGGCCAGACTGATGAGTTTAATATCAGATATTTGATCCATATCAGATCAAAGCACAACTCATCACTGAAATACTAAACTTGATTTGAATGAATCCAATTCCACGAAAATCGTTTTCCATTATATAAATGGAACTGTGAAGCATCTGCTTTGCTAAAAAACAACTGCTCATATTTCTGGGGCTTCACAGTTATGTTGACTTGCTTCTGGTAAAACATTTAACCCTTTACAAACAACGTTTATACTACGCAATTAAAAAGAGAACCTACAGTAATAAACTGTAGAGAGGGTATTCCCAAGATTGCCAAACAGATCTGGTTTTCACATGTTTACATAGAGGCTAGCAGTTGTAATGATTATAGTGGTGAATACTCTCTCTGTGTGAAAGCGTTCGTCTTTAGACAACATCAAAACACAACCAGTCGAACCAGGCATTATTCTCAGAGAGGATTGAAGAAACAACTCTGTCATGAAAAGAAAACCCATCAGTTTGCCAAAAGGAAAAATACCAACACATTAAAACTGTATATCGTTGTTTGCAAGGGGTTAAATATGCGTTAAAAAACTATAGTATGTGGATTTGTTTACGTGACAATGAGAATGGTACGATGTGTGTGACTGACTGCGTGGTGACTGACCGTGTGGTAAATAGTTTTTAGATTCTTGGGATGACCATTCCCTGGCTTTGCCCTACTCTACCTGGGCAGACTTCCAGAAGAAAGAGAACTAAACAGCCCAAATATGCCATTTGTTTTTGTTTTAAAAAAGACATTAAGGGTTTCTTGACATGATCAGCGGTCTGGCTGCAGTTTTACATTTAATCCTGAAAGAAAAGCTTTCCACTGGAGTGAAATGTTGGAAGCGCTTCTAGCAAGGGGAAAATCAAAAGCTACTCCACCTGTGGATATTGGGTGGTATCGTATAATCCAAGTCAAATATTAGACAAATAAACTTTAATGTATTTTTTTATTGTGTAGAATTAAAACTTTTATTGACAAATGTCTCAGATCACTTTTATGAAAGCTGTCTACGACGTTCTATGCCATCTTTTTCACATATTATTTGAGGAGTCTCAGACTGTAGCAGTGTTTATCAGTGGGTACACATCAACTAACATTCTAGGGGATTATCCAGACAGAGTGTACCCCTCTTGAAACTGTAATCACTTTTCATTTAAACAACCAACCGACGAGGTTGATTGACAGGTGATGTGAAATGGGAGTGACAGGACGCCACTGGTCTTTACCTGGAACACTGTGTGACATAGCCAAAGAGCTACAAAGCCTGTTTAGACAACCACTTCCAGTGAAGGGATTACAACAGACGTTTTTTTGGCACAGCCCCAGTTGTAAAAGGAAGGCTGAGATCCCACTGCTTATGTTGTTAATGGCACACATAACGCCTGGGGCGAGAAGCAGCAGGGAGTGTGTAACTTTGTTATTACTGAACACAGCGCCTGGCATTTATGGAGAAGAGAGAGAGACCGTCTGTGCCAGGCTTGCCTACTGGCATTTAGCTTGTCTGTTTGCTTTGGCTGTGAGATTTATGGAGAACAGAGAGAGAGAGAAAGATGCCACCTTTGCTAATGTGAGTGAAGCGCCCCATCAGCAAGTTGAAAAGCTCTCAGCAAGATGGTAGACCACTGAAACTCGCCTCATTGTCAATCGTTGTTATTTGAACGCCCAACTGTGGTATAATGCGGTGAAAGCTGTCGGTCCAATTTGTCAGTTCATGTTATTGTTTGAAAGAAAATGAGAGAGAAAAAATTGTGGTTCCAACTTGTAATATTTTCCAGTCATATTTAGGGCTCCTCCGATTGATCTTAACATCCACCCACTAGGGAGCTCTGCTTGGATCGTATATACAGTGCCTGGCAAAAGTATTCATTCCCTTGGCGTTTTTTCCTATTTTGTTGCATTACCACCTGGAATTTAAATTGATTTTTGAAATTGAAATTGAGTCCAAATTGGTGAAGTGGAATGAAAAAAATAACTTGTTTCAAAAAATTCGAAATAATAAATAACGGAAATGTGGTGTGTGTATATG